TTCCAGTGGAGAATAATGTAGTAAATTTTTAAGAGGCTAATAGACTTCTAGTATTCTAAGCAGCTTAGACACAGGTTTTGAACGTATTTGCCAAACAATTTTGCCATTGTCTTTGTTATACATGATCAGTTTTCTTTCCAGGATAATGAGGTTTGGTTTTTTGTTTTTGCTTTGTGCTGTGGTGTTTGTTGGTTTTTTTAATGGAACAAGTGTATTCTCCTACATCTGTTGTACTCAAAATTGCTTACCCTTTTTTTATCAGCTGTATTTTTTTCTCTACCTGCCCCATGTCATCAAGAAGCAGAGCCTACTTTAAAAAAAATAACATCCTGAAGTAAGGTAACTTCAGAATAGGGATTTTGAATGTCAGTATGTTACAGCACTTCTAATGTAACTTTTGCTGTCCCTGTTTATACCATGTTTAGAGAGAGCATGATGTGCTGTATGTATTTTAATTAAGAGGGAATTCTGGAACTCATTTGTTGCTTGTGTTTCATTAAAAAAAAATTATGCCAATAACTGACATTGTTAGCATATGCTTGTGCTGTTTTGCATTTCCCTTCTTTGTTCTTGGTTCATCCTGTAATGATTGTAGATTTGTGTTGGGTTTTTTCCTTCTTATGTTAGAGAGCCCTTTCTCTTCTTTCTTTAAAGCACCTTCTGCTTATGTGTTACAATGCTTCATATTGCCACGGTGTCTCTTGGGCTGACATCTTAGTGGTAAGTGAGAATTCTATAAAAAAATGCTTTGAGGGAAATGAAAACTAAATTTCTGGTGGTCTTCCATGTTGCACAGGAAAGTTTTAAAATATGACCTGGTCCACTTGAAACAATGAGGTCCATTTCTTGGCAAAATGCCATTTTAAAGTTTCATGATATTTAATCTACTTTCATGGCATGCTGTTGGCAATGCCCAAAAATATTTGTTAAAATCTAAACTTATATTATTACTAGGTGCTAACAAGATTTAATAGCCCTTCTCTAGAATTCCTGGTGGTGGGACTCTACAGCAACGTAGTAAAAGCCCCGTGATCCTTGTAGGGCATCTTGCATCATTCTGTTACCGTTTGTGGCATTTAACCAGAGGAAGAAAAAAATGCCATTTAAGCAGATGTCAAACTAAATTAAAGAGCTGTAACCGGTTAGAAAATTTATTTAGCTTTCACAGTTTGCAACAGATTCAAAGGCCATTTATTTGCAATAATTAGCAAAAATCCTTCAGTGGGTTAGATACAATTTAACAAACAAAAAGTCCTAACTAGCAGAACTTGTTCTTATTATGTACTGGAAGAACTGTGTATAGAGTTTGGAGGCTTACTTAGTTTTGCTATGGCTTGCAAATTTTCAGTTCAGTTGCAATTAATATTTGTTTTGACCATGAATACAATACAGAATATCTGCAGCTAAGCTATAGCTAATATCAGTGTTTGACAATCAGTATTACTTAAAGCTAGATGTAAAACAAATAATCAATTTCCAATTATAATCCTGTTTTACGTTGATATACTTAATCATGTCCACACAAGTTTGTAGAAAAATCATTTACTTCAATCATTACAGTAGTCAGAGGCTGAAATAGCTGTCATTGCTGGTTGTTACTTATGATGAGTGTTTGCTGTTAGTAACAAATTGTCACACACACTCACATGCACGTGTGCAAACGCACACACACTCAAACAAAATGCCATGACACCTGCCGTGTAGTTAAAATGTGGATATTTCCCAGTATGAAAAATACTCCTGCCCAGTTTGAACACTTGCTGTTGCTTATAATGGCATCTAGAGCGTGTTTCAAGTTTAAGGCCCTTTTCTGTCAGATCTTGGCTGGATGATTGGACACTGTCTCCTAAGATGACTGACTACTCTTTTATTGTGAGGAATGCATTTTAAGGAAATGAAATTTTCTGTATCTTGCTTTCATTTCATATTATCCACCCATAATTCATACCAAAGGTATCGTGCCTGTTTACTGAAGATGAGGAAAACACACCCATAGAATGATACTAAAATCACTTGGTGCCTTAAGTAATTTTTTCTTCATTGTAGGATTTTTTTTCTTTGAATTATGAGCATGAAACTAGCTGTCAGTGTTGAACTCTAGTTGTTTTATAATATGAAAAAAAAGATTAATCTGAATTATTTTCCCCAAAAGGGTATTTCCTAATGTCACATAGCACTTGGCCACATAAGAGGACTGAGGTTTGCAGATATAGATATCTACAAAATACTTTTTTTCACAAGGACCAAAGATAGTTTTGCGGATAGAGTTACATGAAGCCCTCTTAGGCATGTGCAAAGTTTTAGCATGGAATGAAACCCAAGTCAACCCCAGTCAAGATGCTATGTATTTGCACATCAGTGCCCTTTTTTTTCTCTAGAAAAGGGTATCTGTTCTATGGGTTTAGTGATTTGAAGGAAGAGTTACTCATAATCCAAATTATTCTGCACATCTTTCAACAGGTAAGATTGAAAATGTTACTGCCAGGACTCAGGGTCTCTAACCTCTTGCTTCATATACAGGGCATAAATAAAGTATAAATCACAGGTAAAGCTCTTCCTACATTGTTCTAGATCAGCATCAACATTTGATGTAATAGATACAGAACAAAAAAAAATATTCAATAGACAATATTACCTGTCTTGCTAACATTGTTATGCTTTGCAAAATTAAGGTGAAGAACCAGTATGGATTACATTACATCTGTAAAGAATCTACAAGAAATGCTAACAGGAGGGTTTATACCACGATGTATTTTAAACTATTTTACGTTGATTAACAATTTACAGTGTAGCAATAATTATAACAGTTAGATTTAAAGCTTGTAGGTACTATTTGAAAAAAAGAAACAAAACCAGTTTTAATAAAAATGAGAAGACTTGGAATTTGGTTTGTGTAACATAAAACCTGTAAAACTGGAGATAATTCCAATCAAATTCTGATTTCCCCAGGCATTGTGATTGCATTGTAAGTCTTTAATATGAAAACTCAGAAGAGTAGTATATTCACAGCATTTTAGAAACTTAAAATACTTAAAATTAATTTGAACTGAGCAAGGAGAAATTGGTTTTGAGGCATTAGGCTCTATGTTACATAGTTTTGCAGTTGCCCATGATAACTAAAGACCCCATAACTGCAGAAAACTACCCTTTTCTGTCTGATCTTTTTCTTGTTTTGCATGACTGGATTAACAGGTGTATCAGTATTTGGATTTTCCAGTTCAGGCCAAAGTTCTGCCCGGAATCCAAACCAGATCTATATGCAGTGTTACTGTTTTTTACTCTCCCAGGCTTAAAATAACAGGTCAGGAAGAAACCTTCTTTCATTTTTAAAGAGGAGTTAAGTTAAAATCTAGATATTTAGGAATATACTGGAAAAAGGTTTATTTCAATATTAAATTCATTTCAGAACAATAATTTTCCAGATCGCTAAAGGTATTGGCAAACATCGATGCATACTCAGTTGAACAGAAGAGAACATAGAATTGGTTGGGTTGGAAGGGTCATTTGAAGATCATCTGGTCCCACCTCCCTGTCCATGGGCAGGGACACCTTTCATTTGGTCAGGATTCTCAAAGCCGCATCCAGTCTGACCTTCAACACTTCCAGGGATGAGGCATCCACAGCTTATGTCCAAGCTAAATCGTTGCCCCTTGTCCTTTCACTTCAGGCTCAAGTACAAGATCTTTGTCTTTCTTATAAACCCCCTTTAAGTATCAAAAGGCCACAGTAAGGTCTCCCTGGAGCCTTCTCTTCTCCAGGCTAAACAACCCCTACTCTCTCAGGTTTTCCTCATAGGAGAGGTGTTCCAGCCTTCTGATCATTTTTGTGGCCTGCCTCTGGACCCACTCCAGCAGGTCCATAACTTTCTTGTATTGGACACCCCAGAGCTGTACTCAGTACTTCAGGTGGGGTCTCACCAGAGCGGAGTAGAGGAACAGAATCACCTCACGAAACCTGCTGGCCACACTTCTTTTGATGCAGCCCAAGATACAATCAACTTTCTGGGCTGTGGGCACACATTGTCAGCTCATGTCCAGCTTTTCATCCACCAGTTCCTCCAAGTACTCCACCAGTGCTCAGAACTGCTCTCAATCCATTGGTCCCCGAGCCTATATTGATGTTGGGGATTGCCTCAACCCAGGTGCAGGACCTTGCAGTTGGCCTTGTTGAACTTCATGAGGTTTGCACAGGCCCACTTCTCAAATCTGCCCAGGTCCCTCTGATTGGCATCCTTTCCTTCAGGCAAATCAACTTGATTGATTGGTTGGTTGGACTGATTGATTGATTGGTTGGACTTGATGATCTCAAAGGTCCCTTCCAACCATGAAGATTCTGTGATTCTGTGAACTATACCACTCGCTGCAGAACAATAGATTCTTTTGTATCCCTTAAAAGCAAATCTTTGGTTTATCTTTGCAATACCTCTTACACTTAACAGCAGGGAGCAAAGAAGAATTCTTTCTTAACACAGAGTAATACCTTTCCTGCGTTCATTGAGACAGGTATTAGATGGCTTGTACGAACTTGATGCCTGCTTGATGACTGTTTATGCTAGGTCCTGAAACACACTAGACCAAGAAACAGACCCAAAGTATCTTTACTAAAGAAATTGTCTAGAATTTTAGAAACATTACCGCTGTTATGAATTGGTATTAAAATTTAGAGAGTTTAAAAATAGTAGCTTCAGAGTTTCTTCTGATCTTTATCAAGGTCCCGTTTTAAATGGGATCTTTATCAAGGTCCCATTTTAAGAAGAAAAATCACACCTAGATAAGAGTAAGCAAGACTAACTTGGTTAAAACATTCAGCAGCAGTCATTTGACTTGAAAAATTAAATGCATTTAAGGACTAAAACTGTTTATTTTCTCCTAGGTTCCTTTCTGATGCTTAGTCTCATGGAACTCATGGGATGGGAAGAGTATAATAAAGAAAGGGGAGAGTGTGTGTTGCATGCCAACGAAAATCCTTTCTCACAATAGCGTAATCATTTAATTAATTAGGAGAACGCTCAGATGATCAAAGAAGTAGAAGTGGATAAAGTGACAGTGCTAGGAAGAAATCAAGTTGAAGCAATCAAGAAGCTCTGGGAAGACCCAGGAATTCAAGAATGCTATGACAGACGGAGGGAATTCCAGCTCTCAGACTCCGCTAAGTAGTAAGTACACTGTGTAATTACAAGGAGAAACCAGATTTAATGAAGTTAATCATATAATCATTTAGGTTGGAAAAGACCCTTAAGATCATCAAGTCCAACCATTAAGCTAACACTACCAAGTCCACCACTACACCATATCCTTAAGTACCACATCTACAGGTCCTTTAAATACCTCCAGGGATGGTGTCTCAGCAACTTCCCTGGGCAGCCTGTTCCAATGCTTGACTACATTTTTGGTGAAGAAATTTTTCTTGATATCCAATCTAAACCTCACTTGTTACTTGGGAGAAGAGACCAACCTCCACCTCACTACAACCTCCTTTCAGGTAGTTGTAGACCATGGTGAGGTCTCCCCTCAGCCTCCTTTTCTCCAGGCTAAACAACCCTAATTCCCTCGGCCACTCCTCATAAGGCTTGTGCTCTAGACCCTTCACCAGCTTCGTTGTCCTTCTCTAATGAAGAGGTAGGTTCACTCTGATTTTATTAATTACACCTGTGTTTCTGTTGGCCTGTGGTACGCAACACATTTTAAGCTGGAGTGATGAAACAAACTAATGTTAGGCTTTCTGAACATACTGGAATGATCATCCCTCCCAGTTCTGAGGTCAACACAGCTGGTACATAACTGAGTTTCCCTAGGGGGAAATAATGAAAAACAGCTGTACAAAATATATTGACAACAAGCAGGCAGGTCAGACAGTCCAGTTGTTACGTGAAAAGTTTAGGATATAAATAAGAAGTCTAAAATCAAATAAATAAATCTCTCCCCCAATTTTCAAGAAACTTAATTGTGAAAAAAATGATTGTTTCATGAGAACAGAAAGTTTACATTTCTGTGTCTGCCAAGATTGAGAATTAACAGGGTTAAAATTCAGCAAGAAACATTTAGATTAGGCATTTATGGTAAACTTTAACTTAGAATGGTTACACCTAGGCAATCTGTTCCTGTGTGTTAAGCTATATCATTCTTGACAGATGTTTGTCTGCCTTGTCCTTGAATAATCCTGTATTGCAGAAGTATGCCACTGAATGGTCTACTGTAGCCTAATTTTGTAAGAAAGCAGCCACAATTTAAAATCAGGTTTATTTTAAATTTTATTAAATCTTCCTTGTAATTACAATTGAGAGCTCAGTAACAACCTGGTACATTGCTGGAGAGAAGGAATTTTCTTTAGAGAAATATTTTCTCACTAAGTGATAACATTAAGAGTGAGTATTTTTGATTTAGGAGCTCAAATGTGAGGGATCTTTGGGAAGCAAGGGGAGAATACACCAACAGCCTCCCTCTTCCACCGGCGGAAAAGGAGGGAATTAGTGCTTAAATAAAAGGAGGATTTTACAGATCTGCAGACATGTTTTGTGATTTGGAAAACACCTTATATTTTTTGTGCCTTGTTAGGATTTTGGATGATCTAATGTTGCCTTCTAGTGGTGGGAAGAATGATTACAGAGAGTAATACCAGGCATCGGTTCTTTGCTCCTTGCGCACACACCATTCATTTATTGAGGCACAGGAATATCATCCTAGAATTTAATCCCAGCCATGAAAAGTGCAAGGACCGTGTGAAACTAAGGAGGGTAAAGTTAAGAATTACTGCACGGACAGACGAGAAACTAAACACAACATCTTTTATGTTAAAAATATGTAAGTTTGAAGCATTTGTGTTTGCAATGCTTTCTATTAAGTGCTTTTCTGAGATCTGTCTAGCAACCTTTCACATTTGTGTGCAAGATTATCCTCACAGATGAAGTGGCAGGGGATGGAGTACTGTTGGTAAACAGTATGGCTAGGACTGATATTTATACTTGTGTTTAAATCTCAATTCTGATGTTTATTTTGGGGTAATAGCAAAGATTATTCAAATAAAATTAATCATTTTGGTTGTAGGCTGATTGTAGAACAGTCAGGCGTCATCTCTCTTGACTAGTATTATTCTGTCTGAAAATTACGTGCAGGTGTCAGTTAAAGTAAAGGGTTTCATTGCTTTAAGTCAGCAACAACTGCACTGAGGCCATACACAGCTCAATTTCTGTTTAGCTGCTTTTGTGGGAACACTTCTGTGATCACTGGTTAGTACTTTGATTTTGAATCTGTGTTATTAATTTATGATAGTGCATTAATTTTGTTTCTGTTGTATATTTAACTTTTCAGTTATCTTACTGACCTTGATCGTATTGCTATGCCCTCATTTGTGCCAACTCAGCAAGATATTCTTAGAGTCCGAGTGCCAACAACAGGAATTACTGAATATCCTTTTGATTTAGAAAATATTATATTTAGGTAAGACTGCCTGACAAATGATTCAGTGTACAGTTATTGAAGTAGTTGCTGCTTTTGCATTCAATGAGTTTTGTATGTGTTTCCAGCCCTTTTAGTCTCCGTTGTTAATAGAGTAACTTGAGTGGTTTCAAAACATTTTTTTTTTAAATTTACCTTAAACGAAAAAAGTTTTTAAATACAAGCAGCCCAATTGCTGTGTATGCTGAACTGGTAGTTACGCTGTTAGAAGCCTTAGACAAGGGAGTGCAGAAGCAAGGTATTTGTAGTAACATGAGTGCTCATATTGGAATGTAGTTGAATTCCATTCAGAGCCAACAGTTTCTGCCTCCTGACTGTTTGGAAGAGAGGGCCCTAATAGATACACTAAAGCCCTCAAGTGAGTTTACAGCTTTCAACTATATGAAGTTAGGAAAGGACGTTGGAGATACTGAGGGAAGGAGGAGGATAAAAAAAAGTGGAGGGTCACCACTATAGATATTTCCGTTCTTCCTGCCATGTAATATACCCCAACAAAATTTATGTTCAGTGGAATTGAGAGAAAGAAACATGAAGTTGAAAGAAAATCTGAGCAGCACCTTAAAATGATAGCTGCTACTAGACAAGCAACAGGTGAAGTTACTGATTTTCTAAGGGAAAGCAGTTCTTTTTGTTTTTTTTTTCTTTTTATTTCAAATTGCAGAATTCACAGTGGCATGATTATAGATGTTCTTCCACCAGACCACCCACATGATCATGAGCAAACACCTGCCTTCAGTTACAACATAGAACCAGAATCCACTCTGATAACACATGGTCAAACCAGCCTGTGAATTTGTTGTTTTTTTGGTTTTTTTCCTGGAAAATGGAATGTTCTAGGGAACACTTTGACGTGGATAAAATGCGAGGGATGTACTTAACTGTCTGGAAAACCTTAGGAATTTGATGTGGAACTAAGATATTTGTGAGCGTTTTGATTGTTCTGAGTACAATCATAGAATTGCTTAGGTTGGAAGGAACCTTTCAGATCATCTAGTCCAAAAATCAGCCTAACACTGACAAAAACCGTCACTAAACCATATCTCTAAGCACCACGTCTACCCATCTTTTAAATACCTGCAGGGATGGTGACTCAACCACTTTCCTGGGCAGCCTGTTCCAATGCTTAATAACCCTTTCAGTGTAAAAAAATTTTCTTAATATCCAATCTAAGTCTCCCCTGGCACAACTTCAGGCCATTAACTTGGGAGAAGAGACCAACCCCCACCTTGCTAAAGCCTCCTTTCAGGTAGTTGTAGACCATGGTGAGGTCTCCCCTCAGCCTCCTTTTCTCCAGGCTAAACAACCCCAATTCCCTCACCTGCTCCTTCTAAGGCTTGTGCTCCAGACCTCTCACCATCTGCGTTGCCCTTCTCTGGACCCGCTCCAGCACCTCAATGTCCTTCTTGGAGTGGGAGGCCCAAAACTGGACACAGCATTCAAGGTGGGGCCTCACCAGTGCCGAGTACAGGGTGACAATCATTTCCCTAGTCCTGCTGGCCACACTGTTCCTGATACAGGCCAGGATGCTGTTGGCCTTCTTGGCCACCTGGGCACACTGCTGGCTCATGTTCAGCCGACAGTCGACCAACACCCCCAGGTCCTTTTCTGCCCGGCAGCTCTCCAGCCACTCTGCCCCCAGCCTGTAGCGCTGCAGGGGGTTGTTGTGACCCAAGTGCAGGCCCCAGCACTTGGCCTTATTGAAACTTTGAAAGTCATCCTGTTGGTCTCGGCCCATCGATCCAGCCTGTCGAGATCTCTCTGCAGAGCCTCTCTACCCTCCAGCAGATCAACACTGCCACCCAGCTTGGTGTTGTCTGTGAACTTACTGAGGGTGCACTCGATCCCCTCGTCCAGATCATTGATAAAGATGTTAAAGAGAATTGGCCCCAGTACTGAGCCCTGTGGGACACCACTCATAACCAGTCACCAACTAGGTTTAACTCCATGCACCACTAATCTCCAGGCCCGGCCCTCCAACCAGTTTTTAACCCAGCAAAGAGTACTCCCGTCCAAGCCATGGGCAGCCAGTTTCTCCAGGAGGATACTGTGGGACACTGTATCAAAGGCTTTACTACATATCTGTTCCATGACCTTCCCAGGCACCAAGGTCAGACTGACAGGCCTGGGACCTCCCCAGTTTGCCAGGACTGCTGGTAGATGATGGAGAGTGGCTCACTGAGCACTTCTGCCAGCTCCCTCAGTACCCTCGGGCGGATCCCATCCAGTCCCATAGACTTGTGTCTGTCTAGGTGTTCTAGCAGATCCCTCACGATCTCACTTTGGATTACTGGGGCTTCATTCTGGTCCCTGCCCCTATCTGCTAGCTCAGGCGTCTGGGTACTCTACTACTGAAGACTGAGGCAAAGGCGGCATTAAGTACCCCAGCCTTCTCCTCAGCCTTTGTCACTACATACCGCCTTCATCTCATAAAGGATGGAGGTTCTCCTTAGTTGTTCTTTTGATACTAATATATTTGTAGAAAGTCTTTTTAATGTTATTAAAAACCAAAGCTGAAGTTCCAGTTGGGCTTTGGTCCTTCTAATTTTCTCCTTACATAGCTCCAGCCTTCTCCTCAGCCTTTGTCACTACATACCGCCTTCATCTCATAAAGGATGGAGGTTCTCCTTAGTTGTTCTTTTGATACTAATATATTTGTAGAAAGTCTTTTTAATGTTATTAAAAACCAAAGCTGAAGTTCCAGTTGGGCTTTGGTCCTTCTAATTTTCTCCTTACATAGCTTTACAACATCTTTGTAGCCTTCCTGAGTGGCCTGCCCCTTCTTCTAAAGGCCATAAACTCTCCTTTTTTTCCCTGAGCTGTGACCATATCTCTTTGTTCAGCCAGGCTGGTCTTTTCCCCAACGGCTTGTTTTTTGGCACATGAGGACAGCCTGCACCTGCACCTTTAAGACTGCCTCCCCTTAAGGTTGGGAGGGGACACAGCCAAGCAGATGACCTGAACTAACCAAAGACATATTTTGTGCCATATAACATCATGCTTAGTGATAAAAGTGAAAAGAGAGGGCTTTAGTGAGGTTGGCTGTATATTTCTTGGGAACTGGTTGGGCACCAGTTTACTCATGGGAGATGGTGAGTGATTGCTTTTGCATCACTTGTTTTGTGTTTTATCTGTTCTTCCACTTACCCTTCACTTACTAAACAATTTATTTAATTCTCAACCCCCAATTTTTATTGCTTTTACACTTTTTTTCCTTCGTCCACCCATGCTAGGAGCTGCCTGTTAGGATTAACCCAAAACAACACTAAGAAACAGCGAAAGTTGTAGCACTGCAGTAAGTGGATCAAGTTTAAATATTAAACAGAAGATACAATGTTAAGATACACTTTTCACAGTTCAAGCTTATCTCAAGTAGGCGATTTATTGTAAGGCCTTTGGTTATACCTAAATTATCTTACAAGAATGACTAATATGTTGACTGTATTTCTGTTTAACAGGATGGTGGATGTAGGTGGCCAAAGGTCAGAAAGAAGGAAGTGGATCCATTGTTTTGAAAGTGTTACTTCCATCATTTTCTTAGTTGCATTAAATGAATACGATCAAGTCTTGGCAGAATGTGACAATGAGGTAAGGAGTGGGGTACCTAAGGTAGAGAAAAAGATGTAAGTTTTTTAAGAAAGACAGCAGAAAAACATAGACATAAACATTTGCAAATACTAGCAATACATTAAGAAACTCATCAAGCAGTCCCGAAGTTGTAATACTTTAGCAGCCTGCCTGTAAAAATGAACTCAACCTTATAAGACAAAACATGATTTTAAAATGTTTTAAATCACTTGAGCCATATCAAATGTTTGAGAATTTGAGTATCAGGAATATCTCTAACTACCTCAGTAATCTGTAATTACGTTTTTGTTTCTTTGTTTTTTAAGTCTGATCCTTCAGAATTAACCTGTGTATTAATTAAGGACAATTAAGACAAAGTAACTTAAAATTTACGTCCTTCCCAAGGTTAGAAAAATTAAGATGAGTTCTCCTGTCTGTTCTAGAGTACCATCGTCATCAGTAGCAAGGTGTTGTAGGGAATGATGCAAAAAATCCCCAGTAGGTAATTAGGGGAAAGCTTATTAGTGCAACTGCACTTTTGGTAGTGGTTGCTTTACATGCTAGAGTATGAGGACTCCTTCAAATGTCCTTCAAAAAGGCTTAATACCATTTGAACTCTGAAGTCCCAAAGCACTTATGATCACTTGATCAGGATCTGGTTGAACTGTGAAAAGCATACCCTACTTTACCTGCTGAAGTGTCACAGCATCCATTATAGTTGAGAGAGTTTTCAAAGTTTCCTGTCATCTTTTGATGCATGAACAACTTTGGTAACTGTAATTGTCTTTTTCCTTTCAGTATTTCGAACATTTTGCTATAGTCACTTTGGACATTGGGAAGTAAATAATAATGCGACTGCCATCACCAGCTTATCCCCAGGAAGTCCAAACAGCAGTCTCTGAATGTGGTGTTCCTTAGACCTGTCTTGAAATGGACAAACTTTATTGTTAGTATAGATGGGTACATATGCTCTTGTCCTTTAGCTCTGTTACAGTGTGTGAATATCAGATATTTGACCTGATACACCCTGCTCCAGCTCTCAGAGGTCAGAAGAGAGGCTTTCATAGAGCAGCAGTCCATGGCTGCTCACTAACTCATACAAGAATTCAAATAATTTCTATTATTAAGGCTTACCTTGATTTTACATGCCATCATGCCATTCATAGTGGTGATCCAAAACCCAGTGATTAAAGGACAGAACACGAAGAGTAATGATCAACCGGGGCATTGCAATTGCGCTTAATAAAAATGATATATTTTTAAAAAGCTTTAAAATAAACCCTTTATGGTCTCTAGCCGATGTGATTTCTATATGCTAATGACTAGAGAGCATAACTTGATATTAATTTTTGTTGTTGTAGAATCGAATGGAAGAAAGCAAGGCCTTATTTAAAACTATCATTACATATCCCTGGTTTCTGAATTCTTCAGTCATTTTGTTTTTAAATAAAAAAGATCTTCTAGAAGAGAAAATCATGTATTCCCATCTAATTAGTTACTTTCCAGAATACACAGGTAAGCATTTATCCCACTCTATCTTCAGAAAGCTAAAAGTCATAGTTAAACCAGTTAGTTTTTCCTCATTAAACTGAACATAGAAAGGGAAATTATTCAATATATTTGATTTCTATGTTTTTCTACTCTATCTTTTAAAATACAAACTTAAGTTATTCAGTTTTACTGAAACTTTGTTTTTTCACTGGAGCATTGTGGATGGTCTTAAGAGATTTCTTGCAGCCATTCTGTTACCATTAGAGTGGCACAATCACTGTTTATTTATGAGAGGAAACGTGCTTTTCATCTTCAATCTCAGGAGATGAGATATTGGGAGGAACTTGGGGAATACAGCTATTAATCCAGCTCCTTATATAGTAAAAACCCATAGTATAGCATTCATTATTACAATTTCTTATCTATATAAAAGTCCAAAATTAAAAAGCAGCCTCCGTAACTTTTCTTCACAAATGTTACTGGTACTTAAAGTAGCCAAAAGAATGATGAAAATAAACACAGATATATTATGTTACTAATACAGTATTATATTCTGCAAGACATATATCATGTTGAACTCCACAATTACTAATGGAAAGAGTGATAATGATTTTATAGCTACAGAGAAAACACCCACCCTTCTCTTGGCCAAACAGAATCCTGTTTACTCTGTGTGTTTTAGAAAATTTATTTTCTCTCATGGTCTTTGACATACTACAATAATGTAGCAAATAGGATAATTTCAGTTGTGTAGGTTTTTATAAAAAAATTACTTTGACCTGTAAGTTTACCACTGAAAAAAGCATACTTCACATCTGCTTTAGAAAGCAGAATTGTAACAGCTTTTGCTTCACTAACATATGAAAGAGAAAATGCCAGCAAGGGAGTATGCCTGTACCACGATTTGCCATCTAAATATTAAATTAGCCTCTTAAAATACTGTCCATATGTTCCTTCCCTGACCCGTAGCTTTTAACTATTCAAAACCACTAACTATGCTTTTGACTAGGACCTAAACAAGATGTCAAAGCTGCCGGAGACTTCATTTTGAAGCTGTATCAGGATCAGAATCCGGACAAGGAGAAAGTAATCTATTCCCACTTCACTTGTGCCACAGACACAGAAAATATTCGCTTCGTCTTCGCTGCTGTCAAGGACACAATCCTGCAATTAAACCTGAGGGAGTTCAATCTGGTTTAAAGAAAAAAACATGGTTGCAGTCACAAAGTGTAGCTTACTCATAGCACAGCCTATGCTGATAAAGAAGAAAGATGTCTTTTCAAATACCGCACAGAAACAGGAGGAGGATTTATATTGACTGAAGAAGTATGGATTAAGAGAACTTTAAAGAATGAGCTTCAAAGCTTACCTTTTAAGCTATACATTTAAAATATTGTGTTCATATTTCCCGTATTAGTTTTGTGAGTTATCTTTTAACAGCTGTGGGAATTAAGTATATTAAGAAGAATGTAAGTAACTGTTGCTGTCCAGCTGGTATTTTCTTAAGATTTTTCTTTTTTTTCCCCCTTTCTTTTTTAAATTTTATTTAGCATTTACAATCATAGCTTATAAAATTTCAAACAGCGGTGTCTTAAAAATTACAAATCAATGTTATTTGTAGTGCTAGACATATTTTTGTTCTGAACAATGTATTAGAAAGACGAGCATAAACCTATTACACTTCTTAGAAGCATCTCTTTAGAAGCAGTGATAGGCCAAACAAAAACTAATAATCCAGAAATTGGAATACAATATTCTAAAATACAAAAGATTCATCACTGGTAACCTTTGCATATCACTGCCTTTTTGTTCAAGTGCCTTACAAAAATAAATTTAACAGTTAAGAAATGGCAGATTACGATCTTGGAGGCAGTCCATGGAGTTTATTCCTTTTTGAAGGGGAAAAGCGTTTCTCAAAGAGGCAGGCATTTAGCAAACGTTCTGTCTTCACTGTCACAGGAGCTCGGAGATCATCCACAGCTGCCTGCAATAAACTAGGCCTTAAATTCCTCCAGGTCACTAACATAACTTGCTTTTTTTGCACTTTTCCTGTGATTGAGCTTCACAGGTAGTTTATAATGGATTTCTCCTCTAGAAGATTTGCAGCCATTTCCCCATCTCCTCTGCTTCCTGTCCCCCTACAAACCTTTCTAAAGATGGCAGTACCACTCGTAGGCCAGCCAGTTCTTCTTCACTGGGTCAAAAATTCTCAGACCAAATAATAAAGATACCAGGGCAATCCTGAAACCTTTTTTACCCATGCAAACTTTGGGGTAGTCACTGGCACTTGATCAGCTAACCCAGCAACACTGGTAAGGAGAGTCTTTTAGTAGAAGAGTTTGCTATTAGCAGTCATTCAATCCAAAAGGTGTGTTGAGATTCTCCTGTATTTAAATACATGAAAACTCTGTTTTTCCAGGAAGAAATATTATAGCAATAGTTCTTGGTATTATCATAAAATAGCTATCTCTATGCAGCACAGAAAAAAAAATAAATCAAGTTATATTGATTTTTCAGCTCGAGTAGGGCTTCTGTGTCTTCAGCCGGGTTGATAACACTCATAGTTCAGCCCTGTGAAAAGCACACCCCGACCTTCCACTGCCCATAAAAAAAATGTTTACTCTTTCACATAATGAAGAGCACAGTTCCCTTTTGTCCAGCAACACAGAAAAAAAAAGCATGCTCAGAGCTGGTTTTGGTTGCTAGGGTGAAAACAGCCTGTACCATTTGAGTCATTCATTACTTCTTCAGTGCTGCAACAAGCAGGAGGAGCCTGTTCTTACCCTGGGAGGGAGGGACAGTGACCGATGGGTTGTGCCCGCAGTAGGGGATGGAGGGAACAGCATGGCGGGTACCCCCCTGGGATGAGGAACAGGGCACAGAGCCACAGCCCAGGGGGAGTGACAGAAAGCAGAGGATAAACCAGCACCTCTGTGTCTGTGAGGTCCGTGTCCCCCACGTGTCATCTCTGCCCTCCCTCAGGAGCACTGGACCAGACCTCAGACCTGCTGTCCTAAACTAACCACGGTTGCTCAAAAAATAATTCAAAAGCATTTCTTGTCGTGAAATCTGTAGATATTGGAGGTTTACAGTGCTTAAGGAATTCCAGCCACATGAAAAGATGATGACAAAAACGCTTTCAGCAGATGCAATGGAGGAAAGCATAGGAAATGCTCAAACCTTTGAACTTCTCAATCCAGTTTGGAGCCCCTTACAGAAAACAGGTTGCCCAGGGAGTTGGTTGAGGCCCCATCCCTGGAGATATTCAAGGAGAGGCTCGATGAGGCCCTGGGCAACCTGGTCTAGTTGGGGGTGCCCCTGCTGACTGCGGGGGGGGGTCGGACTAGATGACCTTTGGAGGTCCCTTCCGGCCTGGGAAATTCTATGTTTCTATGATTCTATGAAAAACCACTGTTGGAACTCTTCACAGTTTCGTACCCTAAGCTGAGATCTGCTGTCTATGTGAGGAGTGCATTGGCGCCCTGAATTCGGGAGCCTGGCTTTGCTGGAATACAGGCTTTGCAGACCGAGTTACCATTTCACAGGGCCCATCAGTACAAGAATGCTTTTCTTTCACACAACATTTAACTGCCCTCACAAGGGCAGTTACCGAGACTAACTTCTGCATATAGTTCTCAATCTGCTTCATGCAATAAGGAATGAAAACCCACAAAGATAAAAAAAACTGGGAGACATCCAGCAAAAAGAGAATTCAGGTTTTCTGCCTTTTTGCCAATTAGTCTTCTACCTCTTAATGCCTGTTCTGGCAGTCACATTCATTTAAGCCTTTGATATGGTGATCCACAGACAAGGAGTTAATAAACATTAATAGCATGCACGTTCTTTTACTCCTTACAGGAGGAGACTTAAAAGCCACTTTACTCCTCCCTTGAAGTATTACAAGAATATTTAGAATTCTTGTTCCAGATTCACCCTGAAAATAATCAAAACCTTTTTATAAAAATCCTGTGTCTGCTGTGAGTGGAATTTTAGATCCTTCAATCCCCCTTGTAGTCACAAAAGAAAAAACTGTGACCAAGATGTTGTTGCATTTCTTAGGTTAAATAACAAGGCTTAGGCTCCTAGGTGACTAGATGACCTTTAAACGTCCCTTCCAGCCCAAACTATTGTATGATTCTGTGCATATACTGAAAATTCCAGAGTAATCCACCAGCAAGAATAACAGGCAAATGTTAGCTGAGGAACAGAGTTACAGGCAGGAAGAAAGGTGTGCACTATCTGCTGATTTGTTCAGTTACAGACAGAAAAGCAAAAGGCATTAAAGAATTGCATAACCACACTATGACAAGTTGCATTTCAAGAGATGATGATTATAAAGACAAATGTTTTCTGTATGAAAATGTGAAATGCTTTGTAAAATATTGATCTGCATAATGAAACAATTACTGTAATACACATGAAAAGCAAATCTAAGTCAGAATCACTTTGCATCAAATACACAGTGCATATTAAGAAGTATTTTTCACCAACAGTTCCCACATTTAATAGCGCTTTTCTTTTGAAATACATGGTGTCAATGGTGACATGGTGTCAATTCCTTTACAAAAATGGAAAACAAACACACAAACCTTTCCATAATATTGCATTAATTTCCATAATAATTGCACACAATAGTGAAACAGGTCCTTCGCCCAGTCTGGTTTAGTAACATGTTTAAGCGTAGAAACTGAGACCCTTCCTCGACAAAAGTTACAGATAAATTGATCAACATAGGAATAAAAAACCAAAACCGCAGCTTGGTAATTAACTGTTAGGCACTTATATCCTTAGTTCCAGGGAAGTAAATGTTTTATTGGTATTGGTTGCTCATTTAGTTTTTGTTGCACCTTCAGTAAAGGTTAGTCACTGCAGATGGAAAGGGATCAACTGGGAGAGTTTAATGCTGGAAAAAGGTACTATAGAATTGTATGATTTGCTAAAGAAATACTGTGTACTCTTGCTTGTACAATACTTACATGATTCCAAGCAATGCAGTCTCTATGTAGTTCTTTTCTGGAATTCAAGTGCAAAATGCTCAAAAAGGGGCGAAAGAAAAAAAAAAAATCTTCTGAATTGTTTCGTGGAATATTCTCATTCTTGAAATATCAGGAAATATATACAAATCTATTTAAAAGTCATATGGATACGGAGCAATTTACAAACAAGCCACTAAGACTTAGCAATCCTCTTAAGTGTTGTATTCAAACTGTTTAACATCAGCAGAGTAATTAGAAAACCTAGGATGTGTAGTTCAAATTCAAGAATATGCTGTAGTATGAAATTTTAACTACCGTTACACAGTAATATTAATCTTTTATTGACTAGTGTGTGATATTTGGTATTTGCAGATGGTTAAAAGTAACTCAGAAGGAACAAAAGGCCTTGGTGATTTGTTTGATATGTGAGTGTGTTTTGTCAAGTGCTAATGATAATTAATAGCTAATGGCATACGTCCAAAAATATTTGGGGAAAAAAAAGAGGATTTCATAAGAATCTGGCTATCTGGTAACGTCATCTATATTTTTTCAATGTGGCAACAGGAGAAAAAAAATACTTCAAAGGGAGCTTACATATGTAAATCCAGTTTTTAAAAACTTGTCCGTATAATAAACCAAAGGTAAAAACTGAAGTCTGTATCCTGGTTTCACTGAGATAGCTGCAACAGAAGCCTGACCTTCTGTTCTCAGAGACAGGATATGACTTAATTTGTCAATTTCTACCCACGAAATTCTAAGTAATGGTAGTAACCTGTTATCTGAAGCAGTATATAAAGAAAAAAAAAAATAATCACATTCCAGTCAAATAAAATTCAGTTTCACTTTATTCAAGGAGAAGAAGAGGTCGGGGCTGGGGAAGAGCGTGGAAACGAGCCATGCCATGCAAAGCCATGCAGCTGAACAAAGAGAGGTGCAAGTAGTTAGACTTACAAATGTTTTAGCAATTGATCCGGCATCTTTGATTCTATGCTTGGTTTGTCCTTAATTTCTTAGAGGTCATTCTAACCCTTAACAAACTACTGCTGAGAACCCAACTGACATTTCTCAAAGGTATTAAGTTTAGATAACAGTCTTCTAGATGAGAAGCTATTCTTCGATACGTCAGTATCAGTATGGTATACTTTTAAACACAATGGTGGGCAGACTCAAATGCCTACATTCTAATTTTTATTCAGATCCCCTTGTCTAATTGCATATAAATTTTCAATAAAAATTAATATATCTATTCTGCCTTCTTGTTGAAAAAAAATACGCATATGGCAATAAGGAATGAGGCATAGCAGAGTGAACATCTCAAACAACTTGCAGTAATCCAGAAAACTACACAATGGCATAAGTCTGAATACCCTTCTCACCGCAGGTTGATGTATAATTAAGAACTGGTGTCTGCCGAGAAATGGCAAAACTAATTCATGACAGTATGGAGACAGGATAAGGAAAGAACAAGGGAAAAAAAGAAACTATTTACTGACTAAAAAAATGAAACCATTGAAAATTGTGTTACTATTACAAGTGGAGACAAGGAGGGAGGTAGGGGAAAGGTCCCACGTTGGCTTTTTAACACTTCCAGTGTTTTAGTTCTTGTGTTAAGGCTTCTAGTTAGCACAGAAGATAAAAATATTTTATACTGTGTAAATAAAATGCAATTTTGCATGAATTGCTATGTTTTCCAAAGCATGAGCTTAACCACAGACACGCACATTCAAAATAAATCCTTCAACATTGATGGTTAACTTGCTCAAGTATTACTGAAGAGCCAGCTGAAATTGTTTGTTGGCAAAATAAATGTAAGAAAGTTAATAACTGGAGAGAATATTAATTGAAATACAGGCCCTGTGAAGAGAAAATATTTTAAAGGGTGAATTGAAAACCTATACAAATAGGACTGCACAAAATACTTGCAAGAGATACTAGAAATAACAGTTACATCAGATACTCAGTAAATAGTGGGGATAGTATTTCCTGTGCAACCTGCTGTAGGTGGAGCTGCTTTGGGAGAGGGGTTGGACTAGATGATCTCCAGAGGTCCCTTCTAACCCCATATCATTCTGTGATTCTGTGATAGAAACAGAGAGGAGACGCCATAGTAATATAGAATCAAGATCATGACAAAGCTATTAATTAAACTATCATGCCTAAGAAGAAAAGTGATGAAAAACAAATCACAGATACAGAGTGATACTAAGTGCACCTCATAACGCTACTTATCTAAGGCAAAGTATTCTATTAGTTTGGCATGATTATAACCTGAGTTAATACTCTTGGTACGTGCTTGGTGTACAAACAAGTGGAGTAACACAGTCAGTGTCTTAGTTTGGAATCCTCTTATAATTTTTTCATTCAATTTACAATTTATGGGAAAAATTAGAAGATTACACGTATTTTGTAACCCGCTAAATGGTTACTCAACACCAAAGGCAAGACTTCCAGTAAATTAAAGATCTGCAACTACAGGTTAACATGCTAGTCATTTTAGATTTTACAATAATGCAGCTATTTGGATACCTCAAGCACCACCAGCAATGTCAGAATTATATCCTGTAGCTATACATATTCCAAACAATTCTTTGGAAACAGTATTTTGGTAGCACATACCAGATATTTTGAAGATTTTGATACAGGAATTTCTGGAAACCTTCATGTAACATTGTACTGTTTCCTGTACTTTTTATATCAACTGCAGTAAACAGCCATTCAACAACACTATGACTACTAAATCTAAGAAATAAGCAGAATTGCACACATTCAAGTTCACCCTATTAAAGTTCTGCTCTCTGGATATGAAACAAAAAGAATTTCATTAGGTAAGAAAAGTTGATAAAAGCAACTGTGAAATACTATATATATTATTTAATATAAATTTGACTTTATTAGTCACTTGCTTAGGACACAATATTGTGTAATCCAAGGCATTTATTTTTGGTATGCAACAGTGCACTTTAACCCCATAAACTCCTTTAGTTGTAAGACTGCTAATAACACTTATTTAAAATAATAGGCTTTAATTAATACTTTTAGTGCAGAGATAGAGTAATTCTCCCCATCATACATTTTTGTAAACTCTTACATTTTTTCTGTGAATATTGATAGAGGTGCTACGACATTTCCTTGAGTAGAATATAGAAAAGTTTACACTAAAAGTGATACTGTACTGTAAATTCATCGTGATCTGGTCCATTCATTTACAAAAAGAAAATAATATTGTTAACTAAGTAGCCGCTCCTGTGATCATCTAAATTAGACTTCCCTGGTCAGCAGCCTCTTTATTAGAATTTGAGTTGTAAGACTAGTGATTATTAAGTTAACATTTCCCTTGATAAAGAAATTTGAATTTCAACACAGCCTCAAGTCATATGAAAACTAAGACAGAAACAAAATTTTCAGAATCAAATCAAAACTGGAAGATTCGCTCTGAATAGTATCACAAGAATTATTCCAGAGTTCAATTTCAATATCAAAAGTAATGGTAAAACAAATTCTTTTTACACTGTATTTATAAAAAAATGAAATCCGGAATTCTTACATTAAAAAACAAAACAAAACAAGCCAAAACTTGGCAGAAATTTTTTGATTGCTCAGGTTGTGTTTTTTTTAACAACGTCATCTATTTTTGTGATATAGCCATAGATTGTTGTGACCACAGTAAATAATTTCATAAATCTTCCTTGCGTGATGTTTTTGCTTTTGTTGCTGACATTCAGATAGTTTTCTTTTTTACAGAGGAATTAAAAGGTAGCTGTTCAGTGTTCTTCATATCTTCGTGCTTCTCCATTCATTACAATTTTGGCTGATTCTCTCTCACTTCTTCCAGTTTAGAAAGGATCCACTGCGTGAGGGAAAAGGAAAAAATAAAATGTTTCCTTGATAAAAACCATACAAAACAGCTGAAAATTAGATTGGGTTGGCTGGACACTTCACTACCTGCTCTCTTCCTAAATGAGTTTTTAAATACAGTGCTTACAATTCTTCTGTAGATTATAAATCCCTGGTTTTCTCACATGAAAATGGAACCATTTAAGAACCAATATCTGATATTGACTATCATAGCTGATAAAAATGGCTAGGTTGAAATTTCAGTTTCCTGTTCTGTATTTCAAAGAACATTTTTAAAAATTTATGACATCATTTCACCCACATCATTATTAATGCTCTGCATTAGTCTACAACTCCAGAGAAATCACAGATGACAGCAGAGAAGAGGGTAAGAGAATACAGAGGTAGGTTGCAGCAATGTGATAATACAGTTATTCAGAAAGAAGCTTTCTTTAACTATATTTTGTCTCCTTTCAGGAATTTCAAATTCATATGTTTACTGAACATGGAAGGGAAATCAGTTTTCCAAGAGTCTAAAAAAAAAAAAAAAAGCAGGGGGGAAGGAGAGGGCAACAGGGCAGTGACATGGAAATCTAGGGTAAGAGATGGAGTTATACAAAGGGATTGGCATGAGAAAGCTGCATAATGCAAGAAAGATGAGTGGATTATTACAAATCAGATTCTGTTACTGGATCAAGTTCTACAGTACAGATCTTTAGGATCCCCTCCTCCCTATCACAAGCTCACCCCCTCAAGGAAACCTCAAGGACTCCTGTTTACCAGGAGGCTGAAGGTTTGAAAGAAGAATTGGCTGTTCAAGAAATTACTCTTCACATCAGAATATGGCACTTCTCACAGATGGAACAACCCAGTAGTGTCCACTAAACCGATACAATGTTCACAAAGCAGTGTCACTGAAATGACCTCATACCCTTTTTACTGTAAAAGCTGCAAGTTTCATTTTCACTGTTCCTAAAACACTTCCCTCAGTGTCACCTCTCCATATACACACGCGTTAAGTGTCACATTTGCAAAAGTGAGACGTAGGCCTAAACAGCCTGGAAATGACTTTCAAAAACTTACTTTTTGTAGGACAGCCTCCTAAGGCCCTGATGACAATTTCTAAGTGAATCTGTTCAATATTCCTTCTCTAAGATAAAACCACATTTCTTACCAAGCCTGTCTGACAGTGACCTTTCCCTTCATATTCACATTCCAGTTGGTTTGGTGAGATTCATGGCCCTTTATAGGAACATATGCAAACCAACATTTCTGTGAAAAGTGCACACAGCTTTTTCAGCTTTTGTTTCCTTGCTTAAGACTTACAGCATACGTAATATGATGCACTAATTTGATTTCTGTAATTGTTACCAATTTAGCTGGTGCATAGATGGGATTCCCTTCTCACACAGACTAACGGACCTCAACACTGCCCCTGCCCCATCACAGCCAAAAAGGGGAAAAAAAAAAAAAAAAAAAAAGAGCAACTCAATACCTCCAAAGAGTGCAGACAAGACAAATTCAGCATGGGGACCTCAAATACCTTGACAGTATTTGTAATGCTTTTTGAGGTAAGAGTCAAAAAGTATCAACTGATAACTAACCTCAGCTGAGTGAAATGACCCTTATGAAGACAAAAGCAACTTAAACTGATGAGAAGATGGAAAAGCAACTTAAACTAAGATGAGGATGGAACTTTTGCACACTGTTTCAAAATGTGATTGCAGGGTACTATATCTCACTGGTATGAATATTTGCAAGACAGATTTATTGTCTGTGAAAATAACTAGCTACGCTAATAAAAACAAGGCAGCAACCCGGGGTACCTCATAGTTCTGGTACCAGACCTGAACTGCTCCTACTCTTTGTTGTAGTGAAAACTAATGAAGTCAAAAAGAAGAGATCATATAGAATAATATATATAATAATAGTAGCAATATTGTATATCAAATAAACTATTTGTGTTAGCATTCTGGATTTTTGTCATTCTTCAACCAAAACCATAGTTTGAGGAACAGAGGAATGACATGCTCTATCTCCCCCCCCGGGTCCCTCAGAATAAAACTAGGAGAAATTTGCAAATATTTTTTCTTCTATTAAAATGTATTACTTTAGTTCACATTCTTGTTTAGTTTTTGTTAGCAGTACTGCTAAATCAGCCATTTGACAGAGATTTATAATTCCAAAGATTTATCTAAGGAAGAGTTTGTTGTTGGAATAGAGTATTTATAAAATTCAGCACTGAATAGATCATTGCCATTTCCATCTGTGTAATCGCTGTGCGGAAATACTGAATTTTAAGTATACATAGTAGTTTCACATTAGAATATTTCTGTTTCACTTTTTACGCCAAATTTAGCACAGTAACTATAATAGTAGTGTAATATTTTGACTTTACCTTAGCATCCTCTGGAGTTTTAAAATTAATAATTTTTCCAAATTCTTTGGCATGGAACACAGACTTAACTCGTTCCTAAAAAAAGAACCAGTAATTCAAAATTAAAGTTAGTTTCTTCAAACTTTGTGACTAAGTTATTTACCATTAAGGCAGCTATATGGTTCAGACAGCCGCATGTACCCATTATGCTAATCTGAGTATGTTCACACCACATGCACACACCCTGAGAAACTTCATTTTCTGCATGAAAGCACAGTGGAGTGGAATACTCCAGCAACAATAGACTTCCCTTTTTATCATGGAGACCCTGGAGACTGGACTATAAAATTGTGTAGGAATGGAAGGCAGATAATGGAGCATGAGGGGTAACAAAATCCAGCACTCCTTAAGGTTGTAATTTTTCATTCATTACCTGGGTGGATATTCCACCATTACTGACTTGCAAGTAGTGATCTTAGGTAGTGAAAATAGCAACTTAGGCTTCAGAAACAGAACAGAAGCAGTGCTTTGCAAAATACAGTTTTCAACCTTAGATTTCAATAAAGACATGTGAATGGACTCTGAAATGACTGCTGTGTAAGGGTAAAGATGGATATGTTTTTCAGCATTGTCTGAAATGGCAGAAACTCTAATAATTATTTCATCCTGTAAAAGTTCACTTGCAGTCAGAAATCCAGTTTGGAGGATTCCAAACCAATCTGGCTCTGCCTTTCATGCTCTCTGCAATAGAAACAAATAATCTAAGTGAAAAACTGAATGACTTTGTGCACTATCAAGACTGTCCTGACAACCAAGATGTGTAATTACACACATGAAGCTTATTAAAAACAGAAACAAACCAAAACACTAGCAGGTACATTTACTGAATGAAATTAAATTCAGTTATGATGTCAACAAGAATTTAAGATATTATTTTTTTAAGGAACTTTGTCTCTGTAAGTACACTCGTTCATCAGTGGTCATTTTTTCCTTGTGTCCACTGCCAGTTTATTAGAGCAATAGTCTTCAACTTGCATTGAAAGGGATAAGCATACATCACTACAGATTTTATGAGGATATTAATACCTTATTATACTTTTTGAAGAATTTTATTACTAGCAAATGGAAAAAAAATAATCCTTGAAGCGTAGCACGTGTAAATGTATTGCTCTGATATATTTGAATCTTCGGGATTGCAACAAGGGAGAAGTCCACATATTTGCATTCCAGTGACAGTCCAATCAGAGTCAGAGTGTCTAAAAAAAGTATTCTGCAATCTTCTGAGAGAGTTTTATTGTATCACCATTTTCCAAATTATGAATACACCACAAACTGGTGCATACCAACAAAAAATTCCCAGCGCTCAAGGAATAAATTAATCTGCAGACACCAAGTCACCATTCTGTTTAGAACTGTCAGAATCTAGTTATCTGAGGAGTTTGCCCATGTTAAATTTCAACTCTCTTCTCTGAGTGCATCTCAACTAGACGACAGATCAAGAATTCAAAGAAGAGACCAGGAATTCAAAGTTCCATTTTATAAACAGCAACACAAAAATGGTTATGTTAACATACCTTGGCTTCAATGCGTAATCTTCTGCCATCGACGATAAAGGGTTCTTTGGTAAACTCATCATAACTGTATTGCCATTCACAGGTCAGCTGTCCAAAAGTCCCTTTTGTCACAAATAACACACCACTAGGCACCAGAAAATAAAATTAATAATTTAAATATTTGTATAAAAATATCTAAAGGTTATCAAGTTACCCTAGCTCTAGCAAAGTCATTAATTGTTCCTAAAGAGTGATCATCTAATAATATATAACAATCATACAGCATATTTTCCAACAGAGTGAACTTTGAACCTTCCTCTAACTTCTTTAAAATACCGTGTTTCATAGCAAAACCATAACACTACTTCTAGCTGTATTTTTACAAAAGGTTTACGGACTTTCTATTTCAGAACAATGCCTGTTACTCCACTATTAGACATCATTGACTCGTTCCTACATTATCCTTTTTCCTTTCAATATGCAACTTTATAAGTGAATCCCACAGTTCCATTGACTACAGCCTAAACCAGACCTACAATGAATCGTTGTCGGCTAAATAAATCATAAACCCAACATTCCTTTTCTCATTTTAAATAGAGAAATTACTGTGACACTCAAAATAGCATACTCCTCTGCTGAACAGTGCCACCGTTGAACAAGATTAACAGCACACTAACCATGCCTTCCCCATTATTTTACCTACAAACATAATGGCAGGCATGTCAAAGCGTACTTACTGATCAACAATTATCAAGACATGCACATTTTGATGATATTTTAATTGCTTATTATTCAGAGTCAAAACTGTTTACCTTTTAGTTACCATTAACAGATCTGTACTGTTGACCATAGCATGTGCAATATATCTGAGTTTTGCAAATCTTCCATTTTCAATTTTCTAAAAGAAATAAAAGTTTTACAGCTTTGAATATGCCAATATAAATTCATGTACTAATTTCGTGCTTAAATTCTATTTATCCTCCAAAAGTATAAATTATAACAAAACACATAGTACATACTTTTAAATAAAAGGCAACTTTGATAAAGTCAGAATATGACTAACAGATCTGTGACAGCTAATCTTCATTGTTACGTAAAATTACCCAGTTGCTGTTAATGCAGCTATGCAAATAAAAATCAATCCTAACCAAAACTGGCAAGGAACAATATAATTTCTCAAAACATTTCAAGACTCAGTTTTCTACATATTTCTAGTATACTTCTGCTAACTAATACAGTTCTAATACAACAAAAGAAATAAGGATTCATTTCCTAATTTATGTTAAGTCACCTCCAAAATGTTGGAGTCATTAATTCTGAGAATATATCTATACTTAACTGTATATAAGAACACACTATCATGTAGACACTGGGACCTAATAATGCACTTGAGATAATGCTTAGCATTTCTCTATATTTTTTTGTTTCTCCCTGAACGAACTTAATCTTTTGCCATGAATATATAGCAGAACATCCTTTAATGGGAAATAAATTTTAAATATTGATCACAGCAGATGAATAATTTTTAAAACAGAGGCTCTGTAAGTTTAACATGACTTGGCATCCATTGGATTTCTGACTTTCTGAGCAATGAGGGATTAAATTAGTGATCAAATTAAGATTGCTGCATCTTAGCTGGGAATAGCAACACGACTGCTTGCATTACTTCCCATCTGTTACAAACTAGAAGCAAAAAAAAAGGTTATTAGAAATCAGCATGACTCAATAAACCCTTAGCTACAAACGTATTGCTTCAGATATGTATGCCAATATTTAAAAACATGTAGGTTAGCTCTCAGCGCAATTAAAATAGCAAAACCATTTAATGAGTATTCATCACCACAGTAAGATGACAAAGACATTTAATTAGGTGTGCTCTACAACTTCAAATTTGGCCCCATGGATAACTCCACTTGCCCAAACTTTTTTTTTTTTTTTTAAATGATACATTTCCTCAAAGATGCCGATTCTTTAGTGACCAAAATGCAAGAACATTAGGATAACAGGCTCCCAAAAGACAGCTTTCCAGAAAGCTCTCGGAAAGTTCAGATTTTTTTTCTCTCCCCAACTCTGTTGGGCTACAAAACCACAGCTACTGATCATGTGCCTACTTATGCGTTAAGTCAATACTTGATTTTCTTTCTGCAAGACCTAGTGTCAGGGGCAGAATGAACACAGCAAAACAATAGCATAAGAAATGAAGAATTAAGGGCTTAGAAAACAGATTTTTAAGGTTGTTTTTTTTTTAAATTCTTGGAAACTCATTCAAGCTTTGTCCAGGGATTGCCATGCCTCCACTTTGAGTCTCTCCCTGCCTCTCATACTTAGGCCCAAGCTCCTACGTCGTAACTAAATAACATAAAAAACCAAACCAAAACAAAAAAATCCTCTCTCAAGGTAGCCTCTACAACGTTCCAGCACACAACATGCTGGATGATTAGAAGACAGATGAGGCTGTATGGACAGACAGCATGAACAGGATACCCGACCCAGATACCAGGCTACCCGTCTGAAGTTTTATGTCCCGATGGATTTTCAATGTTAGTAGCTTAGTAAGAAAGACAGGGAAAGGGAAGAGAAGGCTGGCAGGAACTTACAGAAAAAAATCTCAGTGGAAAGAGCAAGGGTGGTTTGGTAGCAGCAGCAAATACACATAATTTCATTTAATCTGCAAGACTGTGACAGAATCAGCAATTTCTCTTACTGACTAAACACATCATAAATATTGCTAAATATGACCAGTATCTCTATTAGAAGCAATCACAGGGAGAAGCATTTAGCAATTTAGTCTTATAGGATGGAGAGGATCTCTAGCCTTTCTCCTGCATCAAAGACTATAAATTTCTTAGGCTTTGCATCGCTTTGAGGTAAGGCTCTCAGTACAGAAGTTAATATCCCTTAAGTGGGACTTAAGAGAGCACAGTTATCTCTTTTTGTCCTTTCATTAGCTTGCTAGTTTTAAACAAGTGATCTCACCCCACTGTAATTACTCAGTTTACTGATAATGAATTGCAAATTATGAAAATTATTATGGAAATACAGCACTTAGCTATCACACATTAGTTGCAATGCTAAACAAAAGCTATTTAAACATCCAAATTCCACAAAAAATTTCATTCTACTAAGACACATAAATAAGTGATTTGCTCAGCACAAAGATAGTGTTAAGCATGTGGTATGCACTGAGCTAACTACTACTCATTGTCAAATGCTGTTAAGTCAAACATCATAAACTCAGATTATCCATGTTCTATAGTTTTGTAAAGAGACATTAATTGCAAAATAAAGCACAGGAAAAGGCTGCAGAGTCCATTTGTAAAGATAACACTTGTACTTATGCCAACACTGAGTAGTAACTACTAGATTTTCTGCCTTTAGGTTTTTCTACCCTTCGTTTACAATGTCTATCCCTTTTAGCATTTGACTAGCTATTTGACTAGCTAGGAAATGTATCACAGAAGGATACCCCCAATTTACTGCTGACAATTCTTATAGCAAGACACTACTGCGCTCTGCTACCAAAGTGCCTTACACAACTTAAACATAAGTGGATATATATAATTGATCCCTCAATATAAGTACATGAATACATTTATTAAATTTTACAACACATAGCTATTAACGGTTTGGAGAAAGTATCTTGGACCACTGTTTGTTGATGCAAAACTATGAAAGTTAACATTGATTAATCATTGTTTGTTCTTACAGTTTCACCACTTTAAGAAAACAAATACTAATCTTTAAAACACAACTTCTGTATTTCAAGTTAAAAAAGGTTTAATATCCTGATTATTTTAGTATATGTTATGGTTCATTGACTAAACATGGAAATCAAATGAAACTACTGAAAAAAAGACACTCCAATAGCTGTAAAATGTGAAGTAATCCAAGCACAAAACCTCTACTTTGCAAATTATTCTTACCTGTAGTAAAAATGCTTAGATGTCACTGCAATAATCTAACAGATGTTATCATTTGTGCAGAGATGGATACCCAGATATGCTCACTGTCTTAAAAGTGGCATCTCTGCATTTGGAAAGATGCCCAACCACACCACATGATCTTAATTTACTGAGAAGCAAGCACAGATACCTTTGACAAAGTTAGAAATCAAACTGAGCAGTTTAAGTAATTGAGATAGAATTTAAAATCCATGATCCTTTGGTTATAGTTCTAAAAATTACTAGCATTATGTGTGATACAACAGTTCCATCCAGCTTGAACTGATCTCAAACTAAATGACGTGTAAAAAATAATAAAGAATATTCCTACTTAAAAAGTAGTTATAAATCTGTTTTTCTTCTCCTTAGATGTTGAGATTAACTTGAAGTTTTCAGCTGGATTTTAGATTGCTGATTACTGTCCAAATGTGTGAATTCTGAAGGAAATTAACTATTGTTGCTAGATGTCCAATATTGAATACATGTTTCAGCTCAAATTATAGGGTGACTTCTTCAAAAGCTGTAGAATTGTTATTTTCAGGAGGCTAACATGGTATAATTACACAGCCAATCTTTCTCACAGAAATATTTAATCATTCTAAGCAGTACCCAGGTCACTTGTTCTATCTAGCTCGAGTGTGAAAAGGGGAAAAATTGTTAAATAAAGAAAAAAACAAAACAAAACGTGTGAAACATTCATTTTGGCTGCCATGCAAAATTCTCTCATCTTTATTTAAAAAGAACTAACCTTAATCCTTTACTGCCTACTCTCACATTCCGGCTACCCTAACACACAATGTCACTCGACAAAAAGCAAAGCTTTTGTCCACAAAGTGTTAGTGCCTGAATTCACGATTCCATTCAGTGATGCTGAATAACAACTCTGAAATCAACATAGTTCTGTTCAAATCAACAATTTGCAGTCAAGGTTAATATTTCAATCTAAGGCCACAGTATGCAGGACAGCAAAAATTAAGTCAGAAGCTTTTTTTCAGAACATTAAGTTTCCGCTTCACAATGGGAATATAATTTGCCAATGCTGACTAGCAGAACCATCTTGATAAATTTTTGCTCTGAATACCAAGAGACTTTATTTGATGAGCTGAATGGAGAAACCACACTGATCTGTATTTTCACTATAATGACCACATCTAGATGTTTTTTGTCTTTTCCTGCCAATACAACAAAAGTTCTTTGATTAGTAGCATCTAAAGTGATTACTGTAACAGCAGGGAAATGGAAAATATTCCAATTTTCTTTTCTGCATTCTCTGTCAGCAAAAAAGCTGGTACATGCTTTGCCTAGGACACTTTTAGTTTTGACTTGCTTTTCCACCATTTATGCTTCAATTACAAACAAGCTAAAATGAAACTGAGCCACACAAGCTCCTAAGTTGTTCTGAAACAACTGGTGTTAGCGAGTCCCAGCTACCTTCCTCTAAATATGCACAAGACTTCTCTTTGGGGACGGGCAACGGCTACATCCAAATATTGCACATTTAACTGTTAAGGATCCTGCTCTTTCCTTTAATGTAGACACAACAGGCTTTCCAAAAGACAACGGATCATGACAGCTGTGACTCAAGAGAGCAGCAAGCTAGGTAGCATGCCTGAATGGATGCCTGGAAAGAGTCAGGACAATGACAAATAAAAATGAAGTTACCCTGAACTTTGGAAAGAATTTCTCCCTATAATTCTATAATATGAAGCGAAATCTCAGTTTTAGAGTACCTCCCCGTATGGACATTTTTGTTTCAATTTGAACCCAAGCCCAAGGTGGGTGAGGGAAGGAGAGAAAGTATGCATATGACACACTTTTCCCACTCCTCAGATGTTCTTTCCGGCAGGCTAAAGTTTGAATACTAAGAAACAACAGTCTTCTCAACCCAATCGGACATTCTGCCACCTGATCTGAAGCTTGTCTCACGACCAAAAAAAGCTCACAACTCAAAGCTGAA